TGTTTATTGCCACATATTTTGTATTACTCCATCTATATAACTTCGTCTACAAGCACTCTAGAAGTGATTCTGTGCTCTCCCAAAGTTTGTCTTTAATTGAATTATCCATAGTCATTTATCTGTTTATATAACTATCTAGTTTCATGCATTGAAAATTAAACGCTTGATCTTGACACAGATCTCTCACTATCTTTGCCCAAAAAATTATAAAAGTTTTAAAAAAGCATTCGAACCACACTTTTATTCCCTTCCTATTTATTAGAACTGTTGGTCCATTCCTTTCCATCCAATCAAAGCTGAACTAGAATAAGTCTTAGTATTAATTTCTCGGAAAAATGTGCGAAATAACATTTCCAAATGTGTTCTTTGGTGCATTTAAGTTTTTTGATCATATCTAACGTTACAGACAGAACAGTATTGATTTCAAAGAGGTTGCAATATTGGAGGCAAGAAGCCCCAGAATATATAATAAATTATAGCTATTGATTCAGAGTAATAACGTCAGTACCATTTGCGATGCTATTCGAGAACAATTTTTGTTGAACGGGCATATACAAAATTTGGTAGATACTAAGAGACAATAAGGTGGCGCTCTTCAATTATAATTACTTGTATATATTTATAGGAAAGCACATTTATTCTCTAGGCAAATTTATCAGAAAGTGAGTTATCTTCAAATTTGACCTTTAGAGTTGACTCAGGCTGTAATATTACGGGTCAAAGTACTAGTTTTGCTATAAAAACTTATTTTGATTTATTTTTATCGGAACATCTTAAAAATCAGTAACTCACCCAAAAGTACACGCAACTCACCGTTAAAATCGACCTTTCTGTAATTTTAAAACTTGTAGCTCTGCAGAAAAGTTTATCTTCCACTCAGCAGAAACCACTATCAAACTAACTTCACTAAATAGATAATGACGTAAATTATGTTTTTATGAGCTTTGTTTATTTATTTTGTGTTTCAAAGGCAATTATATACATATAAACTACATAAATATTCAAGTTAATTGACCTCTATTTGGGATCCGAAAACGACATATATTGAGTTGTTGCAGGACATCAGACCCCCCGTGTAATTTCAAAAAAATTTCCACAAACAGTTTTTGCTTAATATTATTATTTTGTACTTACTTAGTCTGCCAAGGCGTATTCGCAACTTTTTATGCAGATCGCATTATAATAGATTGCTTTTCTAACTAATTTCGATATGTGTATGTATATATATATATCCTTGGAAACCTTTATAATTTATTGAATAATGTGTTCGCAATAACTATTTGAAAATAATTGATAGTTATTTTGATCAACTAAATATTTTTGGTAATCCTTAGAAATAATATTTTTGCTTATTTCATAACCCTTTATTGTCCCGAAAGTTTTTACTACCCTAATTAAAAGTACATTGTGCCCCTTTTGGAATATTAAAACTTAAGGTGAATTCACAGAACTAAGTATTGCAGGAATGGAAGAGCTTAAATGGCTTCATACAAAATAAATGTTACTATAGTGAATCCTTAGTATAATAATTTCAGCAATATTTGATTAGTTAAATAAGACACAGTTATGAAACAGTAATTCCATATTTCCAAATTAATTTAACTGTTTTTCATATCTATTCAGTAAGGTACCATAGTATTCTCGTGCCATTCGATGTGTTGTAGGTACAGAAACTGAACGAAAAAAAGTTATAAGTTGAAGAGAAAGTACTTTTTGTTAGTCGTATGATCTTAAGTGCGGCATTGTAGTACATTTGACTTATTTTCTTGACTCTAGTATTCGTACAAATATAAATTCACGGTAAACAAATTAAAGCCGAAATAAATAGAAATTTAATTATTAAAAAAGAATGCTTTATGTTTCTCAAAAAATCTTTAGTGCGACGCTTGTTCTTCGATCACTCATATACAAAAACGTTAAAAGAGGGTAAGCTATATACATGTAAACGACATACATATTTATGCTTATTGTCACAATATAAAATCAAAAACACCTAATATGGAACAAAGCGACTATAAAATTAGTCTGCTTTTACAAGTTATGTTAAAATAGTATATTCACAAACTGACTATTGAAGGTAAAGAGATATAGAAGCATTTTAAGAATGAAAAATAATAAAAATCGAAAGCTAACAAACATACGAATAAACGAATACCTACATACATTCCCTAAATTTATTTCAACTAACTTTCAGAAAAAAACGAGAGTTGCTGACAATAAAAGTTATATTCACAGTAAAAAAATTGCAAAAACTTTTCCATTCATAATCGAAGGCGCATCACCAACAAAGCAAATAAATAATTGCCAACTTGACAAACATAACAAAAGAATATCCATATTTGTGATCAACTATGCTAAAAAAATATAAAATAATTTGTGCGATAAAAACATTTGAGCAGGGTTCGAAGCCGATATTAAGCACTAGAATTTTTCTGCCTTAATTCTTGTTTCATTATCTACAGATGCAGATGAACAAGAAGAAGAGTTTGGTTGGATATTGTTTTTTTCATAGTGCTTGGTATTTTCGTTGTAATTTACATAATGCGACACATGTAGGAGAAAGTTTCACTTTAAAAAACAAAATCGAAGAATACAATTTTTTTAAGAAATGTTTTCTAAAACTACTTAGAGGTGGAAAGAATTAGTATAATTCATCGAAATCACTTGATTAGTTTATTCTTTTTTTAACCTGGCCTCTATTCCAAATATGGTATAAGTAATTTTGAGGCGTTCTTGCACGAGAAAAGATGAACATCACTACATCGCCGCAGATTACTTTTCAACGAATTATATTGAAGGTAACTATTTCGACCGTTATATGAGCGAGTCTCTCTTTGTTGGCAATAGCCAAGTTTTCTAGTTCGCTTTTAAAGTCTTTAAAGTATGGACCAATTCACCCGAACTAAGCCCATAGTGCAGTGGATCTTCTACTTTCCCATCACCAACTGTCTGAGCATTTTTTCTGGAATGAACATTGAACTTTTTTCCAATGCAAAAGTAAAGTATATATAAAATAGGATATATTTTCTGTGTGTATTAAGAATTTAGAGCAAAAAGTTCTCTTCTTCGAGATTATAATATACCCAACATTGGAAAAAATGCTCCCAGTAAAATATGCTTGCATTTCAAGGTATTGTAAGGAAATATTAATACATGGCCAGAATTCTATTTTAAACAAATATCTACGCGTCATCAGATTAGCGCCCTAAAATTTTGTATTCTTAATTAAAACAACCTAAGCCATCTTCGTAAGCTTCTTACAAGCACTAACAACAACCCAACCAAATGACAATGACAAAGCCAATGGTGTTTTGAAGTTTAATATCGATGGGTGAAGCATTATATTTCTGATCGCTCTTTAAACTTTGTATAGTGAAGCGAAACTACCCAATATACTTTTAGTAACAAATTGTAATGTATATGAGTTAAATTTCTGTAAAATTCTTAAAAAGTATTTGCTTACAAATCAACGGGATTCGGAATTGTATTATGAATTCTTCTAAAGAACAGAAAAAAAAATTTCTCTAGTTCGTTCTCACGGCTTTGTATTTTCTTATTTTTATAATCTGTACCCTTATGGTGATTACCTTCATTTGATTAAAATTACATATGTGTTTATATAAATACTAGGGCGTCATTTATTTCCCAACTTGTTTATTTTTTTGGCACACGCTTCTTTAGGTTTTTAGTTTTTGTCATGAAAAGACTTATCCAACCTAAGCAAGCCCTTTATTTTCAATTTGAAATCATATTTTTCCCGTACAATTATATGAAATTATTCGATCTGTTGCAATAAATTTTTTATCTCCAAAATAAATAAACCTACAACTTTAAAGGAATAATAATGTAATACAAAATTTTCGGCTCTATAAAAAACACGGAATGGGTAAATTAGTTGAATGAATGAAATACATTACGGCTATTCAGACCGCACATGTTAATCTGGTAATTGGTTAGTTGATATTTCGTTGAAACCCTTTACTTATTCCAAAACAGTTGATTCAATTTTATTGAAGGCTTATTTTTGAAAAATTTTTCTAAAATTATTTTGTAGCGAGTAGAAAAAGTATTTTTTCGCAATGAGTCAAATGAACTTTTTAGACTACGACGCAACACAAACAGCCAATTTATAGTAACGAAAAAGCAATCCAGCTTGTCGCACTGATACTTCGTTACTCGGTAGAATCTGTTATTTTACAAAAACAAAATGCACGGAAAAAACTACCGAGTATCGACTAACGAATTAACAAAGCTGGTGTGAATACCCCTATTGGATATATAATTATAACTGGGTACAACTTTTAAATGAATGTTTTCATGAAAAAAATCAACAGGAAATTTTTTGTAGAGCAACAAATTTTGTAGAAAAATTGTCACTTGTCACTTACTCAAAGTATTATATGAATGGGAAAAGAAATGTGCTTTAGGCTTAGTTAAAATTGAAACTAAAGATTTTGTTCCATTGTTTTGGAAAAAAACTAAAACTTCAGGGAAGTTGGAAACAAAAACCACTTAAGAAAGAAGAGGCACCCTAATAAATAAATACATAGGTAAATGTGTTCTATATAGAAGTAAAAACAAATAAGCTTTTACTGTCTATCCTCACTGCACCGCTTTTATGTTTTTATTTATTTATATTTTTTGTTTACGACTAAGATTACACAAAATAAGAAAACAATGCGCTCATTTACATGCAGACTGCTCTGTTGAAGTGTTCGTGTGGTGTGTGTTTGTTTGTTCGCGCGCAGAATCGCACTATAACTCAATAAAATATCCTCAGTAACCCCAAGGACATTGCTACAAAAATCCGAATCATAAGAATTTCAACAGAAAACAGTAAAAGCATTGAACAAAGAGAATCTGTATTAAATTGGTATTGAAAGAGGCAATAAAATAAGAATACCAGAAATTTCAAATGTTATTTCACTACATTTGTGTTTAATTAAAAATGAGAGCAACAAAAGTAGAACGCGTAATCGTGGACAAAAGCAGCGACTTACCCGCGATTAGAAGAATGAAGCCATACAAAAGCTGCTCGATATTCATTCTGAGGCCGTAACACTTACAGCTGTTGTGGGAGCAAGAGCGGAAAAGTTGAGAGAATTCAAATTATGCAATCCACGTTTCTTCAAATATGGTCTGCATGTACGATTAATATTTATTCCTGCTTTAGGTGACCACTCACTGATGGTTCAATTTTGTTAATATTTATTTATCAGTTATCACACATATTTTTTATTTCTTTTTTAAGAATAGCATTTATGTAACTATTATTAAATAAACTTTGTATAATATATAAGCCAGCTATTGTATTTTTTAATTAGTCGTTGGTTTGCAATACATGTTTGATGTTATTTACACATGGATAATAATGTCACCAAAGCCTTTTAAAGTGGGTTTGGTAATACTTTTTCGTTTCACTCTTCAGCGCTGTTTTCAATTTGCATCATTATGTTATAATTCTATTATATAGAATTCATAATGTGTTTTTCAGAGAACTTTGAAGTACTATCCAAACATAGGTTTTTGGCTACTGTATCAACTGTGCTCTTTTCTTACTGTTCTCTTTACTAATCCTTTTTGATTTACAATTTAATAATTCTAAACCATCATTATTTGTGTACCCTGAATTTTTTATTGACCATATTGCTTCTGTTTCGTTTGCTACGCATTACCTTTTTACATGAGTATTCGTACTCTACCCTAACACCGAACCAATCATTCAAAACAATTATTTTTAGTATCGAATGAATGTTCTTTACTCAATACTAAATCCGTATTGGGGTCAATCTCCATAAAAGACGCTAATTACGCCGCAATTAAGACCTCTTTAATATTTGTTGAAACTACAGGATGCGTCACGTTCTAGTTCAGCCGCTAATTTCGGTGCTTTGAAAAAATACTTTGTACTAGTTTTTAGAATGACCGAAATGAGTCTGTTTCCATATATTTGATTGGCAGCTAGTCTTTTTTTCTTTGCTGAGAAAATATGAAATTCCACATGAAAACAAATGATTAATTTGATGACCATTACTGGACTACTACTGGAGTATTATAAGCTTGCATTAAAGCTTTTCCAAGAAAAAAAAAACAAGAACAACGTTAACTCCGGTTAAACCAAACTTATACAATCTTCGAAAATACAAAATATTCCTTACAAGAGCTTAATTTTGATCGTTTGTATGGCTGCTACATGCTATAGTGTGATCAGAACTATTTCTTCGGAGAATACACCGTTGCCTTGGACAATAATACATGCTTCAGAGCGATATCTCAAAAACTGGGACGATGGACATGGCTAAATTAACTCAGAACATCATGCTGATCATTAATTAATATAAATACATATTATATAATTCTTAAATTTACTTTTGTAAAAAAATGTCTGACTTTGTACTGGTTAGAATGTGCTTTCAAGCGAAAAGCCGTTTTTGAGACCAGAGAGGATAAATAATTAGTTTTTGTCCCAGCTTTTTATTGCCATGATGCACGTGTATGCAAATAATTATTTCAACGGAAATTATTACAAATATGTTCATATGTCTGTTTGTGAGCCAGCAAAAATTTCCATTTCCTTAAATGCTTTCGCAATACAAGTTCACACATACGTGCAAGCTAATTTTCTCGAACGCATAGCATTTGCTATTACACGGCATCTGCCGCCAAACCAATCTCGCTCGCATGTAAATAAACAATTTACATAAGATTACATGGCCTTGAGCGCAGCTTAGTTGTTGCTATTTTTACATGCATTGTATAAGCTGTTGTATATATTATATTTTCATATAAAGGCACACGCTATGTTGCTTGGCTTGCGATTTTCTGAAAAATTTTGCAAATTATTTCATTCTGCTTTCGCGCTTCTTTGATTGTGCCTGAATGGCATTTTTTAAGCCATATAATTGGCAAAAATTTCCATAACTATATGTGAGGGTCTATAAAACTATCTGCTCATAATTATTTTTTATTTCACATGGAACATGTCCTATATGAGCGTAGGAGCAACATTTTCGCCTTTTCAGGCAGATGGAAAATATTACAATATTGTTTTCGATAAGCGTCACGATTACATAAAAAAGGAATATTATTTCTCATCTAGCTAATTGTACCTACACGTTTCGGGCACCTACGGGGTTACAAGTTGCTTTGTAATTTTTGGAGCATCCAACAAGGTATAAAAATAAGTAAACACAAGCTATGATATCGATCCAAGCTTTCGTATTTCTATATCAACTGATCGATTTTAACTGAGCGATTTTAATATTAAAAAAAAAGTGCAGTTTCTTTACTGTCGTATGTCTCCCCTCAGTTAAAATTTAATTGATTTTTGATATAAAATATGCCCTATATGTAGGATAGATAAGTTTCGTCCCCATACCGTATTTGAAAAAAATCTTTTATACATATTCATATTTAGTATTTAATGCCGAATCAATTAAACTTAATAAAATTATAAGAAGGTTTGTATTTTCGGGACATGTTTAGGCCTCTTATAAATATTAAACTGGACCGACGTCGAGCTAACGAACAACTTCAATGTCCATTTACAATATTAATATATCTATTATCTATATGTATAATTTGTAGCCTTATTAAAAATTTAAATATTCAGTTTTTCTATTGTACTTAAATTTATATATCTTTAGCTATACGAGTATGGTATATGATAAGGTTCGTTACGATTTTCTGCAGACAGTTTAACGGCAAACTTTCGTAATACTTTTGCTTTCGAACATGTAATTTCAAATGTTTCCCTACATTTGAATATAACATTATGCTGTTCAATTTACTCATTTAAATGTGTTTCTTTAACGCATAATGCTTTTATAGCTTTCATTCCGCTTTCACCGTTATTCAAATGTTATATAAACTCTTTGAATGCTTTTAAATATATATACATATATATATTTTCTTCTTTACTATCTTTGCTCACTCTACTTTCCGACTCACGTCGCCGTGTGTGATGTGTATAAAAGGTTTAGCAGCGTTTTCTAACTATTTTCTTTACTACGATTACAAAACGTTTTTCCTTGATGCAGTGTAGACTTGTCGAGATCTTTTTTCCTGCTTTGTACTACACACACAGTTTATGTGCTTTATGCTGCCTTGTTAATGGCAACACGCACACAGCAAGATAATAACGGTTCTTACACGTCTTTCCTCGTATTATTAGCGATCATGTGCATGCTTGGATAGTACAACAATATCACAAAAACAAAAAAAGTAAGAATAACTGAGATTTTCATTTACGCTTATCTTTCAAAGATTGCGTGCCTTTAGGCGTCGAGGCACTTTGCTAATACAAGTAGTTTACTTTGTTTCACATTCCCAAATGATTGCCGAAACGCAGCATATCTATAAATTTTCCGCATCCAATTGACCTTTGACACTTAGTGATTTATTCTATGTTGTGAATTTACGCACGCACACGAGCACAAACACACGTTCACAGCGATACGTTTACATGTGCCTACACGTTGTCCACTACACTTTTGTTTTTTTAATGGCTATTATACTTTGGCTAGTGAATAGATAACACTGATTCTTCACGTTAATCGACAAGTTATGAAATTTTCGATTTTTTCGCTGCAAGTAGTAATATAATTTTATCCTTTTGCATTTTCACTTATATCTCGCCCATTTTTTGGCATTCACACACAGTCTCCGTCTTCATTTACTACACTGTTTCAAGTTTATGAACTGACTGAAGTGTCAAATGTACTGAGTAGCTGCTCCAGCTGTCCTGATTGAGCAGCCTATTTGTATATTGGCCAACACAGTTGTCCTTCGTTTCGCATCGGCTTGTATCTTGCATGCATTCGCTAATGTTCGTTAGAAGTGTCAGCCTTTGGTCTCAGCTGATGCTGCGTTCGGCTTTTACTTCGGATGCTGAGCATTTACACTCGTGAGGTTGCCACATGTACGAGTGCGTGTATGTGTGTGCTTCTTGAGTGCGCTTTAGTTTTGCCCGCTCACAGCATAAAATATAAACAGAGCATCTGAACTCGCTACTTCGCATTCAGCAGTTCAAAGCTCTCTTGTCGCGTTGTGGTACATGCATAACATCCCTGTATTTAAGCTTACATAGGTATGCTATCGTTCTTCTGAACATACTTCTGTGTTAGCTTTTAGATTTCGTTACATTAAGGTCATTAAATTCTGTTATTTCTATGTTACGTCAGAAACTGTTTCATAACATACTTTAATTGTACTTCATTTAGAGTACGTTACTTAAAATGTTGCCCTGTTCTTAGAATTATGAGATAAATATTAGGTAAAGTTAAAAGTTTGTTCGGTTTATTATTGATTTTTCAAGAGAAGATAACTTTGTGTATATTTGTCCGATTTAAGTCAAATATGCGCCGTTTTGTTCGTAAACTTGTTGCCAACGAGATGCCAACTTCATTATACCCCTCTCGTAGAAGACTGCGTCCCTATTGGCAAAAAACTCGGATAGCCAATTTTCACAGGCCTCTCTTGAGGCCAACTTCTCACCATTAAGCGCGTTCGCCATGGACAGGAAAATATGGTAATCACTTGGTGCCAGGTCCGGACTATAAGGTGGGTGCATTAGAACCTCCAATCCGAGCTCCAGGAGCTTCTGGCGAGTCACCAAAAACGTATGTGGCCTGGCGTTGTCCTGATGGAACACAATTCGGCCTCTGTTGATCAAAGATGGCCTGTAGAGGGGCCGAATTGAGCGTTTGGCCATAGGGGAGCAGCTCGCAGTAGATGATTCCTTGCCCATCCCACCAAACACACAGCAAAACCTTCCTGGCCGTCAATCAGGTCTTGGCCACCATCTGGGCCGCTTCCTCGAGCTTTGACCACGACCATTTGAGCTCTATGTTGTCATAAGTGACCCATTTTTCATCGCCAGTCACAATCTGCTTCAGAAACGGGTCGATTTTGAAGCAGCGATTCGCATATGGAAATTCGGTCCATCATGTTTTTTGCGTTAGTTCGTGTGGCACCCAAACATCGAACTTCTTTTTGAATCCAAGGTTATGCAAATTGTTCCAAACGGTTTTCTGGCTTATCTTTATTTCCTCAGCAATTAACTAAGTGCTCACGTGACGGTCTGTTTCCACTATTTCTATGATTTGATGATAGCAAACCACTTTTGTGCTACACGTTCGTTTACAGTATCGGGCCCATAAACTAAACTAATTTTTTCAACCGCTTTGGCTGCTTTGTAAATTGTAAAATATAGCGAATTTTCTCTTTGCTGGTGTCCATCTTTGACGAGCGCTCACAACGTACTGAGTCAATCAATCGAAAAACTGTCAAAGACAAACTTTTACCGCGAATAAACACGTTTTCAGCGCCGTATAGTATGACATGATGCGACACGTAACACTAATACTATGGACGCCATCTCTTAGATAAAAACCGAACGAACTTTTTACTTGACTTAATATATACATAAATGATCAGCATGCTGAACTGAGTTAACTTAGCCATGTCCTCAATGATTGCCTCAATTATTGATTTAATGGACTGCTTCAATTCAGTCAGATTTCTAAGTTTTGTTTTGTACACCTCTTACTTGAGGTAACCCCATAAAAAAGTCTGGTGCATTTAGATCAAGTAACCTTGAGGGCCAGCGGAAAGTGGAGTTTCTTGATATTATAAATTTGTTTTAAAGTTTTTGTTGTAGCTCCGCAATAACCGGTCTGGCTATGTGTGCAGTCGCTCAATGATAAATATAAATAAAAAAATGATAAATGAATACAACTGATATAGTGTACCCTTTGCAACAGCATAAAAATAATTGTAAATTTTAACCAGTGTCAAGAGGCACTAGTGACATCAAATTACTTTATTTTTCGTCACTTATTTGGAGTATTAATTGAAATGTTTTAATAATTAAATTATTATGTATACTTTTAGAAATAAAAAACCCCATTAAATTCTAAAGTACCCTTACATATTAAACAACACATAAACCTGACATGAGACTAATATGAACTAAACAGGTGGCAAGTGGAGGCACTTACGAGCGCATGTTCGAAATTTCTGGCAGCTCACAAAGTATCCAAAAACATAGAATTAAGTTTTAATAACTCGTTGCCTGGTGACGCAAAATACAAACTGGGAACTCGTTTGTGGAGGGACGCTAGTCAGCTGGTTGCTAAGTGCAGCGATTCCAATTATGGAGTTGATGCTGATGCAAATGCACGCGTGCATATTTGTAAGCACATTATTGCCGTTAGACTATCTATGTAAGTATGTAAATTTAGATGCTCTAATGTGTACATATTCCCATCAATTCTTATTGCGCATGTGTGTATGTGTGTGTTTATGCCTCATATGTGACCGCTAATGAAATTTTCATGAAACTATTTTTGGCAAACTGACAAAGTAAATATACATTAATAAAACGGAATTACTGAAATAACAATGACATATGTACAGCAAATATGCCAAAAGCAGTGACTGTGACTGCAAGGTATAACGGTAAAACCGTAAAATGACAATGGTATATATGTATGTCGTCACAGCGCGGTTGCGGTGGACGGTAAAAATACAAAATTGGTTGATTTTAACCAGTTAAGTTTGCACTTGCCTTCAAGCGTATTCCTAATAACACACAATTGGTGACTGGCTCTTGCATTAAGCAGTAAAAATCACCTATGCATATAGCGTGTGGCAATACAAATTGAAAATAAAGACTGCAGAAAGGTTAATACGAAGCACTTGTGGTAAGATACGTAAGCAGGTGAAGCCGAGACAGCAAGAAACCACAGCAACAGCAATGATAATATTGTCATTTCCGCATGAGAGCCGAACAGTAACAACACATCGTATCTGTATGGACTTATTATATATGAGTACTTGTATGTGTATATGGTTATCATAGATACGCTGCAGTCGACATAACTGGTTATAAACTTGTTCAAGACTGGTATGAACCGCAAGCATAACTACTCAACCGACTCTCTTTTTTCCATTTGAGCTGCTTGAGCCGTTTCACATTGGGACGCAAAAGAGTCTCAAACCAGTTTATTGTGGGCGAGGGGACGACGAGGAAAGACGAAGGGACCGTGCCACTCGTGTTCGGGTGGCACGCTTTGTGTTCTTGTTCGTAACAGCTCGCTGCTACCCTTTTCAGCATTCCTTTTCACTTTCAAATCCTTTGAATGGTTGCAAGAGCGCTCGGTTTCAAATGAATTCGATCGCAAATTTGAGTTCTGTTATCTATTTTTGTATGTAATATGCAAATACGTATGCATAGAATAATAGAAATATTATGACAAATTGTAAATAAGGAGAAAATTAAGATATAGATTATGGAGTAAAGAAATTATGAGTTTTTAATACTTAAAGATTAGAAAATTGCTATTATAAATTTGGCCTTGAAAATATTAATAGCGGATATTCAATACATTCTTGTGGATTAGGGAATTCCCGTTTTTAGTATTTTTTTGAAACTATTTAGCGGGTAGGTACTTGTATTATGCATATTGTTCTACCATATTCATGGTAATTCATTGCAAGCAAAATGTGTGACCATCATCTCAACATACAAATGAAATACGCAGCATGCAGTGTTGCGCGGTGTTGCGCAGTCGAACCGCACAAATATTTACGAACATTTTGTGAAAAGGAATGCAGAAAAACTAGACTCGAGTTGCTGGACTCTTTTTGACCGTGTGAATGCCCAGAGCGACACCAAAAGAAAATTTGAAAAAGATCAGACTCTTTTGCATCCCTGTCTGAAACGGCACCTTGCAATGCTGCAAATAGTGCATTCGCAATATGCGCATTAGCATTTAAATAATTTTTTCTTTGTTTTGTTATCGCGAAAATCTTAACTAAAACTTATTTTCAAATTTTGAATCCCAAATACAGGATTTAAAATTGAAAACAAAATCTTATGGTAAAACAAGTTTCATATGTGAACCACTTTCTTATATTTTCGGCTTTAAACTGTAGTATATCCAATATTGTACGTCCCGTTAATATTTACTCACTAACCGATATATACTTATAGTATGAAGCAAACCGGTTGATTGAAAAAATTGTATTGGGTATATGGGAGAGAAGAGTACTATTGACAAGATTTTATCAAATTTTACACGACTACATTATATAAATAGAAAAAAAACAGAAAAATATGCTCTTTGTGTTTTATTAAGGTACCTCACACACTATTACCAATATAAAGGGCGATTCAAGTAGAGTTACTATTTTCAATAGCCTTCTTTTGACAGATCACTAGTGAATCGTGTCAAGCTGTCATGTTAATTTTGTTTAGTATTGTTTGGCATTTCATAGGGGAAAGGACTGAACAACGTTTAGAAACGTTTATTACGAAAATTCACGTTCTGTGAAGAATGTTACATATTAAAATAACTCACCCTATATATATTGTAACTTTACTTTTCTTTCGTACATAACTTTTCTCTGTCATTTCTGATTATCAACTTCTTTACTTTACTGTAACTTTCAAATAACATTTGGAAATGAGGTACTCTCATCTTAATTCTTCTTTCCGTTGCATATTTTAATTTTTCCTTCAATTCATTCTTGTGTTGGACGCTAGGGCGGAGCGAAAAAAAATTTTTTTTACACACGTATTCACACTGTCGGAGCAATTTTCGAAAGGATTTGTCCTGTGCTAATTTAGGTTGTTCAGTTCGTTTTACCTCTTCCATACGACACCGGTCCTGGTGATTAACTTTTTTTCGTAGTTGGTGCTTATTTTTGTGCTCCTCAATATTTTGGATACAATTTTAAACAAAGTGATATAACTTGGATG